TAATGTAGGTAGAGCATAGTGGTAGGGACAGACTCATCACTAACACAAGAAAGCTTTAGGAGAAAGCAGAGAACACATTGGTTAAAATTTGGTAGACATGAAGACCTAGTTCCTCGAACCTGTAATCCCTGTACTCAGGAGTTTAAGATAGGGAAGGATATTGGTAGGACTTGGAGAGAGCATCATAAGCACATAGTGAGTTCCATCCCAGGCTGGGATCCAGAGCAGAATTCAACCTCAATAACAAAACAAAACAAAAATGGTAAAAGGTTTCTACCTCATTATTCACAATTCAGAAGGATAGGTACATTGTAACATTGTGTAACATCAATTGTGTCCTTAGGAAGAATAACAGTACAGGTTTATGACATCATCAAGATGTGAAGCTTCAGGAAGGGATTTAGCTCAGCAATGGAGCACTAGCCCAGCATTCACAAGGCCCTGGGTTCAATCCCTAGAAGGGCAAAGATCAAACTAAAACAGTATCAGCAGAAGCTCATGGTTTCAGTGCTGGGGAGGTTGAGGGAGCAGGAGCTCAGAGGTCAGACTAGGGTCTACTGAGACCATATTTAAAAGAAGAGGAGAAGTAGGAAGAAAAACACATATGTTAAGTAAAATTCAAATTGTGGTGACATATCTGTTTATCTGCCACTCCTTATGTCACTTTTCAGTAGGTCAGAGAGGATAAGGAACAAATGAGTTGCGTTATTGAAGGAGGTGTGTCATTGGAGCAGGCTTTGAAGTTTCAATAGATGTGGCCATTACCAAAGCTCTCCACCCTCTGCTTCATGTTTGTGTCTCGAGTTGTGACCTCTCACCCCCTGATTCAGCACTGTATTAGTCAGGATTCTCTAGAGCAGTGGTTCTCACCTTCTTAATGCTGTGACCCTTTAATACCGGTCCTTGTGTTTTTGTGGCCCCAACCATAAAATTATTTTTGTTGTTGCTGAATAACTGTAATTTTGCTTCTATTATGAAACATAATGCAAATATTTTGGAGTTGGAGGCTTGCCAAATGGGGCACAAACCTTGGGTTTAGAACCCCACTGCTTTAAAGGAATAGAACTTACAGATTGCATCTATATGAGGGGGAGATATCAGAATGACTTACAGGCCAACTAACCCAAAAAAGGCTGTCTACCGATGGACGGTCCAAGAATCCAGTAGTTGCTCAGTCCACGAGCTGTTATCTTAAGTGATCTTCAGCATATGTCAGAATCCTGAAGAAATAGGCTCTAACGCCAATGAAGAAATGGACTTGCTAGTGAGAGCAAGAGAAAGCACAGAAAGAAAGGGCACCTTTCCTTAATTTATGGCCTTTATACAGGCTGCCAACAGAAGATGTGGTGCAGATTAATGATGTGCCTTCCAGTCAGGGAAGATCTGAATTAAGGGAGTATTTCCTGCCTCAAAGATCTGGATTAGAAGTGGGTCTTCCCACTTCAAATGATTTAATTAAGGAAAAAATCTCTCACAGGTGTCTAGTCATTGTGTTTTAGTTAATTCCAGATGGACTCTGGTTGACAACGAAGAATAGCCATCACAGTCACTGTGCCTCTCTGCCTGCTGCCATGTTCCCCACTGTGGTGGTCATGATCCTTAACCCTTTGAAGCTGTAAGCCCCAAATCAAACACTGTCCTCACACAGAGCTCCAGAAATGGTGATTATCACAGTGTGATGGTCAGGATGTAAATGGCTCAGTTGGCTCATGGGCAGTAAGCGACACTGTCAGTAGGTGGAACTTTGTTTGAGAAGGTTTGGCATTGTAGAAAGAAGTGTGTCCTGAGCAAGAGCTTTGGGGTTTCAGTAGCTCTTGCCAAGCCTGTAGGCAGAGACTGCTCTTTAATTCTCAGCCACCTAGACACAAAATAATCACACAGTAACAATATTAATTACACCACTGCTTGGTCTGTTAGCTCAGGCTTCTTATTAACTAACTCTTGCATCTTAAATTTACCCATTTCTGTTATTTTGTATTGCCACAAGGTTGTGGTGTACCAGTAAGGCTCCTTCCAGCGTCTGTCTCCTTCAGCAGCTACATGGCATCTCTCTGACTCTGCCTACTTTCTCTCTAGATCTCTTCCAGCCTGGCTATATTCGGCTCTGCTATAGGCTGAAGAAGCTTCTTCATTCACAGCATATAGAGGGGAATCCCACATCACAGGCCCAGTAGCTCACTCCTTTCCTGCTGCCTGCTCATGCAAGGGCACAGCTGTCTCTGCAACATGTCTGCCTTTGAGCTGCGATGCTTCCAATTGTGATAAATACTACTGAACAAAACCTCTGAAATGTAAGAAAGACCTTGTTATGGTTTTCGTCTCTTTAAGAGACAAGCCACACCCACTCCCGGCGGCCCCTGCCCCTCCCCCTTGTCATCTTGACTCTCACTGTTCTCTCTTGGTCCTCCTGTGCTCTCTCGGGCCCTTTCTCTGTCTCTCTCCTCTTCTTCTCTTTCTTTCCTTCTCTCTCCTCTAAGAAATAAATGTGCAATTCTATTCTGTACGATGTGGATGTGTTTGTCTATGTGCCTTCTACCCGCTGCCTGCCCAGCTGCTTGCTGCTTGGAACTGTACCTTCCAGGGACTCCCTGGGAGCAGGGACCAGCCCAGCACTGCATGGCTGGCGCCTATCCTGGTCAGAGATCTGCTGCTCTGGACCAGGCACCGGGACCCATCGCGAGCTGCTTGCTGCCTGCTCACACCCTCGGGCTTGCTGGGACTGACCAGCCCGCCTGCCATGTGTAGGAACCACAGCTGTCTCTGCCTGGGACTGGCTGCTCTGTGAGCCTGCCTGCATACTGCCACCGCGAATCTTGTAGCATTTTTAACAGACCTAATTAAATGTTCTCCTTTATGTGTCATCATCATGTGCATGATCATAGTATCTCTTCACAGCAATAGAAAACGAACTAAGACAGACTACATACCTATATACCACCACATCTGGTTTTCTGCCACTCAGAATCCATGCCAAGGTTCCAGGATTGCTGGGCATGCAGGGTACCAACTCATCACATTCTGAGCCCTGCAAAATTTCACCTTCTAATTCAGGGGATGCTGAGTCAATATCAGAAGTCTGTAATAGAAATGTTATCTCATATGAAGCCTATAGAGCCATTCTGGGGAGAGATTTCTAGAAAGGACCCAATGAATGTATAGATCAGCACTGTGCCAACTCAACCACATCCCCAGCTCTACACATGTTCAGCTTCTAATTCAGGGGATGCTGAGGCAATAGCAGAGGAATGTATTATAAATCCTAACTCAAATGAGGACCTGCTGAGACATTTTGCAGAGGGATTCCTGGAAGGGATACAATGTATCAGATCAGCACTGGAAAGAGGCCCTGCTCTGGACAGCAACAGAACACCTAATCTGCAGGACACCCCTGGGCAGCTGGAGAGCCCCTGCAGCTTGCTAGTTTCACTGCTGTGAGTGTGGGAAGTGTCTCTGCAGGGCTCTGCAGGAGGCTCCTCCCATCCTGTCCTGCTGGGTGGGAATCTTGATTGTGAGCAGCTGCCCTGAACTGCAGCTTCCTCCTACTCTCATCCTGTAAGTGCCCAAGTCCAGCCCCAGAGACACTGCAGTTCTCTTTCCTCACCTTGTCTTTCCTGCCCTTAGGGCCTCACCTGCCCTGCAAGGAGAAACCCAGCCAGGAGCTCAGGTGCAAGAGGAGCCCATGGGGAAGGTTTTCTTTCCATCAGGGGCAACTTTCCAGAGGATCAAGACATTTTTAGATGATTGTAACAGGAGCCTGAACAAGTAACCTGACAATTTCCTGTGGCACTGTGTCCTAAGTTTGTGGAAGGCAGAGCTGACGTAGGGGAACTGACTTCCTCTGATGGTAGAACAAGAAAACAATGTGCTAGCATCCCATTGACTGGTAGTTATTCAGTTTCTCTTTCTCAGTTTTGGCCCTTAAAGTCTTAAACTTTCATTTCTCTTCTGGCTCAGCAGACATCAGACTTAGGGACCAAGTCCTCAGGACACCGTGGCCTTCATTCGCTCCTCTCCACAGATTCAGGATCTCTTGGTTGGTGTCTGAAGGCCTGAGAGCCAATCTAGAGGACAGAATTTGGAAGAAAACACTCTGTTCTGGTGAGTTTAATTTGAAACTGAGAAGAGCCAGGAAAGAGGATCTGCTGGCTCCTTGCTGAGTGCTGTGGGGATGAGGGGAAGCCAAAAGGAAGTGTGGCCTTGACAAAGAAAACTTTTCAACAAAAGACCACAGACTCTACTTCAAATTTAATTAAATTAATTTATTAATTACTGGTAGAAGGCCAGCAACAGCCTACAGGACAAATCAAAGTCTTGTCACACCCGAGGCTGGAGGAGGGGTGTTTCAAGGTGAGCAGCCAGTTATCTCATGTGTGTGGAGTGTGGAGCTGAGTGAGAAACTGCTGGTGCTGCTCAGCTGTGAGGAGCTCTCTCACACGGCAGCAAGTGGGTTCCCGAAGCCAGAGGAAGCAGTTACTTATCTCATAGACTTTTACCATTTGGGGCAGGGTAGGAAGGAGTGGGAGTAGCCAGGAGCTTCTCTTTTAGGGATATAGAATGGATGTTTTATGATTGATTTTAGATTCTCGCGCACACCGAGAGAAGACAGTAAGTGATCTAAGATGGCGGTGGCAGGGAGGGGCCGCCGGGAGTGGCTTGCCTCTAAAAGAGACAAAAATCATAACATTCCCCACTCTTTATTATAATAAAAAGCAAGAGATTAGACACCACAGTTTGACTGAATTGGGGCGGCGAATTCTCAAGACTGCTTCCAGCTTATTTGTGGGCGTCTCTTTTTAGGGGGGGAACCTTGAGAAGGCTGGGTGCTGGCCACATCCTGGCATAGCTGGTCTCTTTGCTCTCAACCGGTGTCTGTGGCACAGAAATGTTTGAGGTCTCTTATCCTGTTTAAGGTATTGGCAGAACAAAGAACAAAGTTAAATTAAGGAAAAAAAATTTTTTTTGGACCAGGGAATTGAGGGGGAGGTATCTGACCTGTTTAAGGTGGATTTTTAAATTTGGCTCCCTGGAACTCAAAAGAACTCCTTGGGTTTGTGAAAACAGAAAATTTAGACACATAATGACTGTGGCATATTTTTGTACAATGAAAAGTATTTTTAAGACTATGGAAGGCAGCATAAGAGAGAAATTTGATTTGAAATTTGTTTGGTGAGGTTACCTGGAAAAACCTCTCAGCTATCAAACTGTCAGAGATTGTTGAGAAGGATAAGATTTTATTTGAGTTACTGATTGAAAAATGACAGAGAACTTACTTGGTTGGCTCCCAGAGCTACTCTTTTGGGTTCTCCGTGGCCGCTGATGGTTGCACTTGACCTTTGCTATTTAGAGCCAGGCCAGTCAGGCTCCAGAAGACCCTGTGGGCTAAGAAATCTGTAGGAAGACAGCTAGGCTGTTGATTCCAGTGATTCTGTCCGCGTCTGGAGGTCTTTAGTTTAGGTGAAAGGCAGTTTTGCCCTATGGTCAGTGCTCAGCAGTCAAAGCGAACTGCAGATGGACATTAGTCTGAGTCCATTTGTCTTCTGTCTTCTTGGAGGAAACAGTGCTGCTTCTGGGTGCCAACCTGTCTCTTTTTTTATGAAAAGTTTTTTTTTCTTTTTATAATTAAATAGTTAAATATCATATTCCCCAGATTTCTGATCAGTTGAGGGCTGTTTATCACATATAACTACAGTATAAAATCTGTCTGGATGATTGGGTCTGAGCTTGACTGTACTGGCTCTTAACAGGTAAGATTTACACTCATAAAAAGGCAGAAGGAAGAAAACAGCTGCTTGTAATATAAGGTTAATGACAGAACTGACAATAGTGGAGAATAGCTTAATATATTTTTAAGAGACTTAAAAGTACATACCAGTTTAAAATATGAGACTTATGATTTTGTAGTCTGAAATGAGATGTAATGAACAATTATTATACACAGAAAGAGTGAACAGGAATTGGTCAAGGCAGATGCTTTTGATGGACCCTATCAAAGGCATGCCATTGTGCAAAACACATGTAACAGAGTTAGCAAGGGATTTTAGTGAAAACCGGGTGACAAGACAGGGTATACTTAAGTAAAAGTGGGAGAGCTTGGTCACCTGACCTGGCTCTCAGCCAAGATGGCAGTAAGGTCACCCATGTAATAAAGTTAACAGTGGGGAACTGGGCAGGTTATACCTCAGTAAAGATGGCAGAATTTGGTCACCTAACCTGGCCCTCAGTCAAGATGGCCATAAAGTCACCTGACCCCAGTTAAAATGGCGGCAGCCACATGTTGTATGAAAAAAGTCACAATTTTTGAGCTGTAAGGATTTTAAGTGTAATGAGAGGGACTTAAAGGTGTGATCTGCCCTGTTGCTGAGCCACCATGCCATACCAGAAGCTGCAGAGTGGGGCAAAAGGCTGGAACCAAAAAAACAAAACAAAACAAAACAAAACAAAACAAAACAAAACAAAACTGCACCATGCCATGGCTTGAATTTTAAAAGCTGGGGAGCCGCCATGGGTGATTGTTTTTCAGAGCCAGAATTGTGAAAACCCGCAGAACAGCGGCACCCAAGGCCTGTATCGGAACATCTTCCAGAGAAATATAGGCGGGATGCAAATCGGTGAGGCGGTTATATATGACGAGAGGAGAAATAGAAAAGAGAAAAAATGAAAAAAGAAATGAAGAAATTGGGAGACCCTGGGCCTCCAGTCGAATGCACTGCATGTGGCGTGTACAGTGCTAAAACACAGGCTGGCTGACCCTGGGTCAGTCCAAACACGATTCTGGTAAAGGGAAGCAAAAGCAACCATAGCAGAACGGGGGTGACTCACCGACTGAAGCCAGTGGTGGGAGTGGAAAAAGAACCCAGTTCAGCATCCTGACCCTGGGATGAGTTTGGGGCAGGAGCACCTATTCGAGTCGCACAAAGCACCAATTTTATGATTGATTTTAGATTCGCAGTACAACTTGTGGCGCTCCCCCCCACCCCAGAGTGGCTTGGCTTGTGGCACATCGTGGCGGGTCCCAGGCAGGGAGACACATGGTGGGTGGACAGGAGACAGAGAAATGGATAGACACAACATGTAGAGTGAGGTTAAATATGTATTCAGGGGGTTATGGAGGAGAATGGGGAAAAGGGAGGGGCAGAGAGAGGGAGAGAGAGAGAGAGGAGAAAGAGACAGAGAAGAAGGGGAAAGGGGGGGCGTGCGCACCCCAAGAGAGGACAGTAAGTGATCTAAAATGACGTCGGCAGGGAGGGGCCACTGGGAGTGGGCGTGGCTTGCCTCTTAAAGACACAAAAGTCATAACAGGGTGTTTACACAAAATAGAGTTTTCCTTATCCATCACTCCATCACATACCCCAGTCACAAAAGAAGAAACCTGTCTGTAGCTGTATTGTCTGAATATAGAAAACCTAGTTATTGTTCCTTGGTGTCTCTTTAAAAAAATGATTTATTTTTCTGGAATGGGGGAGCATTTGAAGGATGTTATAGCAACTTAGTTCAATGGAAACTATTAAGTATTGAATTCCTGGTTATTGGGTGTTCTCTACCACCAAGGCAATAAGCTAATCAAGCTGAATTAACAAGTCCATGTTTAACAAAGAGGGAAAGGCAACTGCTGGGTGACTCTCAGGGAGGCAGATGGAACAACATGGGGTAGGTCTGTCGACCAGGTCTTAAGTAGCCTATAGGCATGGTCTTGAGCAACCCTGGGGGAGGGGCTGACCTTTGCTGGGCTTTCTAAGGGGCAAGGTTTGAAGACAGTAGTTCCAGGGAGGGGCCTCTGCTTGGCTCTCTGAGGGTATTCTAGAATGGGAAAAGTAAGATCAGTGTGTGAAATGGCACTCTGAGCTAAAGATTCCAACAAAAGCTTCCTAAAGTATCTTAAGGCAATCTTTATGAGGTCTATTAATGGTGATTATGAACTTGCAACTTGCAATCTCTTATCAAACAAAGCTTCTAGTAGTGGAACTTGGGTTCACAAGGAAATCCACAAACAACCCAGGCTGTTGTTCATACAAAGGGTTGCCCTCTAGAAACTGGCAGTGGAATCTCATTGCTTAGGACAACAACCACAGAATTAATTGAACATTGAAGAAGTTGAACTGGTGCCTACATGGAGCCTTTACCCCTCAATTCTTGTCTCTCTGGTGTGGGAAGGTCCTCTGCAGGTTACAAAAAAAAATATAAACACCAACCAAGTCACAAAGCCTTTACCTACAGTCTGTCCTACCTGTAAAATATGCTAGGGCAATGGTGCAACAGAACTTGTAGCAGTAGCCAACCAATACCAGATTTGACTTAAGGCCCACACCAGGGGAAGGAACCCATATTTGACACTGCATGGGTGACCAAGAGCCAGAGGCTAGGCAACCCAGAGACCTAGGGTAAAAACCAAACACTATTGGAAACAACAACAACAACAACAACAACCCCACAACAATAAGCTAACAAAGTTTCATTTTGTTTTGGGTTATGTATTTGTGGGTCTGCCTGTGTATATGTGCGTTTGAAAGGATGGTTGAGGTGGTAAGAACTGGTGGGTTCCTTGAAGCTGGAGTTACAGGCACCTATGAGCTGCTTCATGTGGGTGCCAGGAACTGAACTAGGATCTTCTGCAAGGCGCAGTGAGTGCCTTTTCTCCAGCCCTAGGTTGTATGACATTTTATTGATTCACTTATTTTTTTGTTTTAATGTCATTTTATGTGTATGGGTGTCTGACCTGGTTATAGGTCTGTGCACTACTTGAATGTCTGGTGCCCACAGGTGCCAGAAGATGGCGTCAGATACCTTGAAACTGGAGTTACAGACAGTTGTGACTCACCTTGTAGGTGCTGAGAATAGGACCAAGGTTTCTGGAAAAGCAACCAGTGTTAAAAACCCATGAACCATCTGTCTAGCCCCTAGTATAAACATTTTAACAATATTCAAATCCATGAATACAGGTATCCATTCTTGTATGTAACTGTATCACCTTAGATTTCTTTCAGCACTTCTATACTTTTTGTGTGCAGGTATTTCATCTTGCAGTAATTATTTTCATAATCATTCATTTTTTCCTTAGTTTTGATGGTTTCATAAATATAATTGTTCTCTGTCTTTCTTTTATTAAGTTTATTGACTCATTTATTTTCATTTTATATCTGTGGGTGTTTTGCCTGTCTGTATATCTCTGCAGCATTTGGATGCAGCACCGTCAGTGGCAAGAAGAGAGTGTAAGATCTACTGGAACTGGAGTTACAGGTAGCATTGAGCAGTCATGTGAGGTCTGGATGTTACGATTCAGGCATTATGCTGGCCCCAGTCACCTGACAGGATACACTCAGGCAGTACCTTGGCCAGTCCAGGGTGCTATGTCTGTTACATCACTATGTAGCCTGTATGCAGTTGCAGAAGGTCACTTTAAGAGACAAGCTGGGAAGAGAGAGAAAGAAATAGAGAGAGAGAAGCTACACCCATTCCCATTTTCTTTCCTCTATTCTTCTGAAGAGGCAAGCAGGTCTCTCTCTCTCTCTCTCTCTCTCTCTCTCTCTCTCTCTCTCTC